TTTTATGATGAAAATTTGTGCTTGATAGCAATTTGACATAAGAATTAAGTGCACGCAATTGGAATCGCATCGGTCTATTTCTTGCAGCCTACTCCGTATAAGATTTCTCATGAATAGTAAGCCCATCAGAAGAATGCTTACTATCTAATATGTTATGATGAAAATTGGTTCATAATAGCAATTAAGCAAAATATCAATATTAGAGAATTTGGATCACATAGGTCAATTTCTATACCCTAGCATATATAAGTGTTATCATGAAAAGCAAGCCTCTAAATATAATTTCTAGTCTTCTATGAAAAATAATAAAATTTTTGCAAAGAAAGTTAAGTTTGCTAAACTTGGATCTATGCGAGCTTTCATGATATGTAAGCCTATGTTCTATTCGGCTCACATCCCAAAACACCAATATTACTCGACACCTGGCAAATTTCTATTGTATTTCTGTAAGAATTCCTTCATGTGTAAGTAGTACTTCAGGTAGGAATTAGAAGGTTTCAGATTGACAGACTATCTGTGATGATAATCGTTTTGTTTGTTTGTTTGGTTTCGGTAAAGAGAAGGTACTAACGGTTATTTTTCAAATTTGAATTATCTTTGCGATCAGTTCTCTGAAGAGTTAATTTGGCGTAAACGATTTTTTTACGCTGGACCTGAAGTGTCCCAAATCTTCACTTTTAAAGCCGCCTGTATTTTAGGGCCATATGCTCGAATGACTATATATGCGAAAGTCTGTTGCGCATAGTAATTTTTGAGTTTTATTTTTTTTGTCCTCTTCGAGTATCGAATTGTTCGTGCAAAAAAGCTTTGTTATCATTCCAGCTTTTTATTCTCTAAAGCTGAATGACAATAATATTGCTAATGTATATCCTTCGGAAAACTTATGCGCTGGCTATCATCATTTGGTAATAAATCGACTTTAGAATATTTATATTGCATTTGCCTTCATTGCCATAGACAATCAAGCCATAGTCAATTTTGATTAAAACAAGATATTTATAATGCATGTACGAAACTTTTCCAAGCTATGTGACATATAAGGCTCATTCTAGTTTGAATGGAATTCTTTAATTGAAGGCCATTTCAGTTCCAACGGTACAATATTCCATATAAATGCACATTTCGGATTGGCAAGTTATCATCTATGTGTATCAGTACCAGAGCATAGACTATGTAACCAAAATATTAGTTTCAGTTTTTTTTTTTTTTTGCTTGTTTTTGGTATACTTTGTAGCAAAACAATTTGAAATTCATTTATTTATGTTTTAAATTGAAAAAGTCAACTTATTCACTTAAAGTTTAAGGTAAAATTAAATCATTATCAAAATTATTATAATCTATTCAAAAACGAGGCGAAAATTTATATAAACAAAAAGCCATGTCTCTCAGTGAGAGCACCGCGCGGAAAAGAAATGATAATACACTTTTGCGATGTCAGGTTGTATTAGATAAACGAAAAACTTCGTAGCGCCTTTTATCATTGATTAACTTAAAGTCTCACATTTTCTTATAAAACTAACCCGATCAAGCCAGAAATTGAAGGCAACACTCCACAAGTAAAATAAAGAAGAAGCATTTGTGACATTTACTAATTCAGCCAAAAGTAATTATGTTTTGAAAGTTAGCTAAAATTCCGAAAGAATTCACTAATTTTACAATCACATCTCGTCTTAAACGATAAGGTTCCGAAAGCTTTTGAAAAAATTCAGTACATTGTGATGAAAACGATTTACCAAAATTTGCAGCACGCAAGTTGTTGTTTGCTTATTTTCGCTTAAGTCGATAAAATTTTTCAGAAATTAAGGAAATCCAACACTCATCTTGACATGACATCATTGCTGAAGATTGATTTGAACATTGATTAATAGCAATTTGGAACGATTTGAATATCACCTGAATAAATAGGGGAGAAAACAGTAGGGGAATTTCATCCGTGAATCGTTGCTGCAACAAAAATCGTGATCCAATTGTTTGTGAAGAGATAAATAACAAACGGTGCAAGGTACAATAATAAACGAAGAAGATCGTGGTCCAAAGTGGACCAAGCTGCTCAAACAATGCACAGCTTAGGTTAACGCCATGTATGACAAGCTACTACAACCCGGCCAAATGATTAATTCCACTCTCTATGGCCACTCTGAAATTAATGAGATTAAACAGCAAGGGATTAATAGGAAAGGTGTCACAACAACATCAAGCTAAACACATTTTTAATGATTTATAAAAGTCATTATGATGAAATGTTCACCTGATTCGTCTTTAAAAGGTCGGACGTATTATGTATAATAGCTCTTATAATGCGTTAATAAAACAAGTAAGAAAATTCGATTCGTCTTTGGGGCTCAAAAAGATTGAAAAAGGAAATAAGTAAAAGAATTAATTTGGGTCGTAGCGAGATCTTTTGTATCCACCATAAACGTCGTAAAGTGGATTATATCAATTTGTATTATTGTAGTTTATGAATAAAGAGCAAAAAACCCATTTTCGTGCTCCTGCAAATGGAAATTCTCTTAGCTTATGTTGTATCGCGGATGTGTCCTTTGACCAATTGTGTCCATCATCAACCTGGATACAAGAACTTTTAATATTTCAGCCAAATTTGAAACCGTTAGTTCGGTTCTTGCGGTCTCTCGGTCTATAGAATGTTGGCACTGATGGACAGACAGTCGTGCTCGCATGCTTACATCGATTTGGAATTTGATGCCCATCAAGAATATTAATATGTTTTATGCCCACTCGTTTTGGCAAAATGCATATATCCCCATCCTCTGACGGTGGGCATAAAAGTTCGCAAATATGGAAATTCCGATACATTATAATGTTCCGAGTCCATGGCCATGGTATATTCTACTTTTGTACAGGTACTCTAGGATCAGCTGTTAATACACATCGAAATTTTTATTGTTGTAACTCTGGGGATATAGTCATTTTGCGATATCCAGAAGGAGGTTTCAGAACTTCCATAACATATTTGACTCTATTCTACTCTTGATCAGCACCAAATTTTGAATCGTTCTAAGCGCATTGATCTGCCCGTCGTTCCGTTTATGTAATGTGTATGGTAAATGTGGTCCTAATCGAAAAAATAGCATTATTGACTTCAAATTGCACGCAAATTGAAAATTAGCGAAATCGGTCAAACGGTAGTCCTATAAGAAAACATAAACTGACAACACCTTTGTTAACTGAAGTAAAGAAGATGAAGTTTTGCTCATTACTCATGAACTACAATAGATAAAACGATAAACATTTTGATGCTCCTACCAGTAAATCGAATATCATTTTCTGAATTGATCTAAGCCTGTGTGACCGTTCATCCGTCTGATGTCTGACCATGCAAATTTGTGTCCAGCCAACAGAACGCAATTTGTGAGAGATTTTGATGAAATTTGATACACTGATATGCCTTGACCCAAGGAAGACAGCATTTGGATCGGTCCACTTTTCCCCATATAAATGACATGAGAAAATGTTGCAATTTCTCGACAAACGTCACCGAGTAGAAGTATTTTGACATTCTATGTTGGTACGAAAAATTTGCCACGGCAGGGGCAATTCTTTGAACCCCCCTCCCATATAATCGTTCCTACGAGAACTGAATCTTTTTATGATAGTGAGGTCTAATATTCAATATTTCATGTGGAAAATTGATTCATAATAGTAAATCGACAAGGAAATCAACCCTACTTTGGACTACGTAGCTCTATTTTTTAGATAGCATAAGAGCTGTAATGATAATATGAAACTTTATTTGTCAAAAAGGTTTAATTTTTAATATTGTATGGCGAAGATTGATCGCTGGCAAATCTGCCATAGGGGACCTACGTCTTTGCATGTTATCGTAATTTGTGGTTTGTCATGATGGACGCAACTGGAAACTAATAAAAGCTTTGCCAGGTAATTTTAGCTTTCTAAGTTTAGATCACGTTTACGTTTGAGCCTCTTCCAATATGAGAATTTTATCTCTTATTAAGGAAATGAATGAATGACTGTATTAGGCAAAGTTGCTTAAGGCATCTAAAGATCAGCCTTGCCGATTCTTACTCTGTGTGTTTCAAAAATATGTTTCTTTTTATGGAGAAAACATAATTGGTTCATTTTTTTGCCCCGCCACTGTAAGATGAGCGTATACTCATTTCCTTTTTTTCCAAAATATATATAAAATGCAAAAGGAAGCTTTAGAGACACTATAAAGTATTTATATCCCTGATTAGCGTGAAATTCTGAATTCATTTAGCGATGTCCGTCCGTCTGTGCGTCTGCGTGATGCGTGTTGTTAGCCTTCTCCTGGTCGCAAAAATGAAGATATCAACTTCAAATTTAGTAGAAACATTCCAAGTTTCTGGATTCACGCGGGTTGGTATTGAAAATGTGGCAAATTTGGTCAGAGCAGAAGCGTGCAATGGAGGGTAAACTGAAGGCAATCCAGTTTTTTTTAACAAAAATTTTTGATTTTTGCTCGTTACTCGGAAATTGTTAAAGTTAGAAGATTGAAATTTTTCACATTTGCTTTACGAGACACTCTCTACTCTCTAGGTTCATAGAGGGAACCAATCGGCTGTATCCACGCAAAGTTACGAGTAATTAAATTTAATTTTTTTTACCTTATTGAGATTTAATGCTTATTTATCATAAGGCAAACAAGACCGAATGTTTAAAACCATTTTGTTCATTCCTTAAATGAAAATATTATATCTATAAGATTATCTGCCTAAAAATGGCAGAATGTGAAAAACATAGTGATGGGTATCTGAGATTCGGCCCCCGTCGAATATATTTTTCTTACTTGTCCTCATTATTGTAAAGATGAATAAAAGCTTCTAACGAAAGGACTCTAACAAGAAAATTTAATAAATTTTTGATTTTAGTTCCTATGTGTTGAAAGAGGAAACTCCATTGCACTATTTTATGTTATTTTATAGTTTTATAATTAAAGAAAAAGTAGTCTTTATACCTTATGTCTTGAATCCAAGAGCGTTGAATATTGACTAAAAATTATACTAATTTGAATTGATTAGTTCCAACTCCTTTAATTGTTTCAAAATACACACGGACGCTGTATGGGCACGTTCACAACTGTTAGGTGAAGAAAACAAAAAAATGATCTCAAATTTTCTACGAAACAAAAAATAAGAAAACAAAACGGTTTACCGATCTTCTTCATGCTTCATTGCCTTATCACACTTTTTAATAATATGCTGTATAATGTTCGTATCAATGTCTCTGACGGCGAATAGATTCTCAAAAAATTGTAGGACGTCTTCTTCACTTAATAAATTATCGGGAGTGAACTGTGGATGCAATACGAAAAAAAAAAAAAATAGAAATATGAAATAAAAAATTCCTTACAACATAAATGTGTTAGCTTCAGTTATAAATACCAAATTGTTATTCTTGAGAATGCAATAACGCAAACATTTCCCATTGCGTGAAACTTCCTCTTGTTCGCCTTGTAATATATCGCGAAAGCCTTCTACGAATTTAAGAATCGAAACTACATTTATTTAGATACTTGGCTTTTTTTTTTTTTTTGAAGAAAATATTTTGTTTTTTTCATTTTTTCATTACCTTCAGTTATTTCAATTTTAATCGTATTCGCTTCGTCTTCATAGCATTCACGAACCGATTCTCTTATCATGTCCATTAATATTTCGAAATTACTTGCCTGCTTTGCCTGCATAAAAATATTTCAATAAAATATTTTCTCTCTTGTCGTATTTCGAAGCTTGCTTACCGGTGTTAATTTTACGAAAAGTATAAAAACGATATAAAAAACAAATTTCATTATTTGCTCAGTGAAAAACATATCAAGACCAATCTTCTCTCTTGCCTGAATTTAAAGTAAAGTAAGTTCTATAAATTTCCGTACGTTGCAAAACGGTATTCACATAGAAGTGAGGTCATATACGATTCTGGCAGCATCTTATATACTTTTCATAATAGATAACTTACAAGTTTGAATACGTTTCTTAATCTATTCGAGATGAAAGTTTTTTATCTTATTTCCTCTCAGTTCGAACCATCCGGATCGGTTCATGTACATATTGACCGTCAGACGAGATCTAATAAATAATATATTTCTGAATTTTTAAAGAAACAAGAGACAAGATCAACAAGACGTTGATGCAAAGATATTACCCTTGAACGTCAACAAATACGTGGTGTTTCAAATCTTAATAGCATCCAACTGCATAAGAAGATGGCTGAGCCTAAGTTGGACACTTTAATTGGCACGTTTTAAGAAAATGTGGATTTATATATAATTTAACAATAATCAAAAACATACATACCCATTTTATAAGGTATCCAAGAGTGTGATAAAATTAATTTACCCCTTAAGTCATTAGAGAGTATAGGAGTAATTAACTCACACTTACTGCCACTAATGATGAGAACTTTTTTTTGGTAAATTTATTCCTATTGTATATAAAAAATGAAGTAAAAATATTATAGTTGGGCAAGGCTGAGCATACCCTACATCACTTTGCCAAGTACAATTATGCACTCGTTTTTGGTAAGAATACACCAAAAATTCCACATCATTTCGATGCAAAAGCAAATTTTTCATGGAAGCCCGCATATTTTAGGGTACCCAAACCATCATATGGTATGATCCAAATTTACCAAGCTTGAGAAATGAGCATTTTTGTCCACATAACAGCTTGCTTTCCATCAGAACCTTTATATATGCTGGGGTCTAAAAAATTGACCTATGTGATCCAAATTCTCCATCATTAATTTTTTTTCAAAATTGCTGCTAAAGACCGATTTTCATCATAAAATATTAAAAATGTAATCTTTTTCTGAAAGAGTTACTATTCATAAAAAATCTTATAGCGTGTCGGGTTCAAAAAATAGACTCATGTCGTTCAAATTTGTTTCACTTAACTTTTATGTCAAGTTACTGTCATGCACTTTTCATCATAAAACGTTAATAATTAGACCTTTTTGGCTTACATTTCCTAAAAATCCTTTTATGCGGCGGTATGCAAACAAATAGACCTACTTGGTCCGAATTCGGTAAGGTTAACTTTTTTGTGAATTTGCTATTATAAACCAATTTTCACCACGAAATTTATACCAGGGGCGGTCTAAACTAATTTTGATAGCGTCCGTCCTTGGATGCACGCACGGTAGTTGTACCTAATTTTTTCAAACTATCTCAAAATCTTGCAATCTGTAGGTTGAATATAAAAATAGATTAGACAGCCATCAGCTCGACAGACAAGCTTAGATGGATTCTAAATCGATCGGTATAATAAAAGAGAGGTCTATCGCAAATTCTTTTGGGTATTACGTATGTCCACCCAATCTTAATGTACCATGTACCATAAGTGGTTTAGGATATAATAAATATATTTTATATGTATATATAAAATAGTCTAAAATCTATTCAATCTTTAGCTCAGAATATGACGTAAGATGCGAAAATGATATGCTGCGCAAGTCGCAGCAGGTCAGCGTCAATTGAGAGGGAGAAGTGGGATAAATTTCCAGTTATGCGAAGTTAGGTCAACATGCGCAGCTCATACGTTTGCTTTATCATACACAAAAAAAAAAAAAAAAAAAAAAAAAAAAAAAAAAAAAAATTATATTCGGTCGTGACAAAATCTTTTCTACCCATCACCATTATCCTAAAAAAGACAGAAAAGAGGAAAAATACTAAATTCTCATACTCTATAATATTAAGTGGGCGCGGTTGGTTTTTTTTATTTTCAGAAAAAAAATTGGAAGCCTTTAACGTGTTTCTCTTGTAGTTTATGAGTAAAGAACGAAAATCACATAAAGAAAAAGCGATCTGAGGTTTTTTCGCATGTTTAGTAGAAGTTTAGGTCACTTTCAAGTCTTTTCGCGAATACGGACAGATAGACAGATGATTGGATGGACATGCTTAGACGCATTCCAAATTTAAAACTGACCAAGAATTTATATACATTAAGGGTTTTTTGAAGCTTGTTTATATGCGTTATAAAGAATGTGGATTCAAATGAAATTATGACGAACCATGAAATGGAGTAGGCGTGGCTCATTCGTTGAAATTTTTGCAGATTTATCTGTTATAATTCATGAAAACCGGTTGTGCTCTCAGTTTATGCGATCGATATACCAAAAGGATAGATCTACGCCTTATCCTCTAATCAAATTTCATACAAAAGTTATTGATAGATTATAGATAGATAAGAGATTCTATCTAAACCGAATATCTATATATCTATAAATATATATATATATACATTTTTTTTTTTTTTTTTCTTTTTTGATTATGAGTATATGGGAAACGGCTTTGTATATTCCAATAAACACCACCGAAAGGTGGGGTAAATATTTACATTGTCAAAACGTTTGCAATACCCATAAGGAAGCTTCAAAGACCTCATATGAGCATGTGCATCTGTGCGTCTGTGTATATGTCAAAAATGCAGATATTGATTTCAAAAATTTCCGAAAACATTGCGAGTTCTTGCATACAGTTTGGTAACGAAAACGGGAACAATCGCGATGGACCCACATATATTATTCATATATTTCACACAAATATTTCCAGCTTTAAAGAGTATGGAAATTTAGTTGTGCCCTTTTTTTTTTTTTGTTTTTTTGAAGTAACTGCGGTGGGTATAAAGGATTCGATCGCAAGCGAACATAATTTTTTTAATTCTTTGTAACGCAACTGTGGCTATATCATCCATCCCTTTGTCAATCAATTTTTGAAGTTTCAAAATTTAGTCATTCATTCTTTACGCAGATCGAATTGACAAACGAAGGGAACTCTTTACTTATTTATATAAAACAACTTCAGGCCATAATGGTCTCGATCGGTTATAGAAGAAAAATTTTCATATGTTCAGAAATTTCGAAGCCCACTACTGAGAAATGCAAATATACTAATATTTCCTAATACTTTATGAGATTTTCGGCACGTAATTCGTTTACGTTGCAAATTTCTGAGAAATATATCTGCAACAGCAGATATAACAAAAGAAAACATGTATAAATTATATGTAAATAATTTGGGGAAATTTTCCATTGACAGGTATGTGAACGGCTTGCATGTCTATCGATTGTTGCACAAACAGGATGTTTTGCCAATAAATATACAAAATTAATTTAAGGCACGATTTTCTTTCAAAAGTGATTAAAAAAAAAAAATAGGAGACTATTAGGCAAAAACAAAAGTTAAGCCATCTGCTCGCAGTACATCGGTTATTAGATAGAAAACGATTTCACTAGAGATACATTACTCTGCCAAAAGTGCTTTCGAATGCTTTGTCGTCTTGGTTTATCCTCTTTTATCCTTAAAATCAACTTCTGCGTAAATAAAAGTTGAAATTCAATTACCAAATACACTCAAGGGGAAAAAAATCGCACACCCATTACATTTTCATTTCGAACCTAAATATTTATTAAATTAAATTTAAGTTGCAAACATAACCTAAATAACACTAAAGCACAAGGTGTTAACTTTTGAAAAATTCGTAACGGTTTGCCATGACCTTCAAAATCTTTACAGTAGCAATAAAACCATTGAAATACCCAAAACCGCTCGTTTTAGGTAGCGCTGAAAGGTTCTTTATCGAATCCAAAGACATTTAGAACAAGGAAATGGATCGCATATCAGGAGCAGTTTCTTAAATGGTTACACTAATTGAGACTGGAAACAAAGAGCAAAAGCCAAGTAGCACAACAGCTAAATTAAAGCCGATATGCTTTTCGACGGGTACACCAGTGAAATCAAGAGGCTGGTGGCTACAGTCGATGTCTCAGCAGATAGCCCTCCCTTCTAGCAATGCAAGACCACATGCCGTCGCCTGAATGCGTCCGTACTTGGAGAAGCTTGCTGTCTTGGCTACGATGTGGCCTTCTCGAAGCCCAGATTCCGATCCCAATGAACATCTACGGTAGGATCTCAAAAAAAAAAAAAAAAAAACGAGCAGAAACAGGGCGCCTACGAGTCTTGGGGAGCTTCGAACCGCCATTACGAAAGAATGGAATAAGGTACCACTGGGACTTTGTGCGAAAATTTATCTATTCGATGAAACACCCGATGGAATCGCATCCAGTCAGGCTCGTATTAACAAATGCCTTTCTCTAATAATTTGATTGTTTAAATATCCTTTTATACCTGGTCAGTGTTGCTGAACCAGCGCTACCTGAAACGAGCGATTTTGCATATTTCTATTGTTTTATTGGTCAAGGGAAAGCATTAGGTGTTTTTTTAAAAACTGACAAAGTATACTTTAATTTAATTTAAGTTACATTTGCCAACTAAACTTAATTTAATAAATACTTTGGCTCGAGCTGAAAATGTAAGGGTTATACGTCATTTTTGCTCTCGAATGTATTTCTTATTAAAGAAATTATTAATTGTATTAATTGTAAAAGAAATTATTAATTAATAATGTATTTCTTATTAAAGAATTATTAAATTGATCTTATGATCGCTGGTTGTTTTTTCATAATTGTTTATAGTAATTGTTATTAAGATTTTAATTTGGATGCATATGTAAAAAGAGAATGAAAAAGAAATAAATAAATAAATAATTACATGTCTAGGTGTCATTAAATATTTTATGGAAAATTATCTCAATCGTTCATTTGTGAAAATTTTAATTCTTTAGTTAACAACAACTAGCAACAAATTATATAATTTAGCTTTCACACGTTCACCAAAAAAACTAAAACAAAAATTCAAACACAACGATATAATTCTCTCAACCTATAATTAAGTTGATAATGAACATACTGTAATGTTTTTATGTACAATATATATGAAAGAATTTAAAAAAAACAATAACAACAAGAACAAAAATAAAAATAAAACTATTGAAATATAAAAACAATCGACAAATTAATTTTAATTTTTCCCCCCATTAATTTGCTTATTACTTAGTACAATAAAATAAAAGCCGTTGAATTCTTTCATCGCTTGTTTATTAGAATCTTACCAGCGGACTTCATTACAACGCAAATATTTCGTCTCGCTTTCCAGTTATTTTGTGTAAAAATCAATTTTGAAAAAAAATTCAATTCAATAAAATATGAAATTTCTAATAAATCTTTGTCTATTAATTACTGTAATTGAATTATCAATTGTTCGGGTAAATACAATAAAAATATAAAAACAAAAAAACCAAACATAAAATAAAGTAATCTTAATATTTTCATCATATTATTAAAGCGAGCAATGACTGCTTCGGCAACCTAAGATTTAAAATATGGTTTCAAATTTAATGATACGATGATGATGGTGCGACATATCTATCTATAGCGTAATGAAATAGTATTGCAGTCTGTAGTAGTATAGGATTTAAAGGAAATTTCCAAAATGAAATTATTTTCCATTTCATATCAACAAAATAGATCTCAGGCATTAATATTTGCTTTGGGGTGAATCTGCCAAACTCAACCAAGTAAAAGGTAAAGGTAGACGTGAACGTATATAATTAATTATGAACGCATCATTGGCCGCATCATTGGGAACGTATTTATATAGTACAGGAGCATGCTGTCGGTTAGTGTTCACGACGAGATTTCAATAAAAAGCTTCTCATTCCTCCTACTTTTGCATCAAGCTAGGATGTGCGAATAATGGGGAACTGTGTACGAGCACAAGAATTTGTCAAACAGCCTACAGTGCATTATATTCAATTTCACAAGTTTCAAAATTCCGAAAAAGTAAGAAAATTATTTTCGATCGTGAACGAATCTTTTTTATATCTATCAGCGTGATGCTAAAAAAAGGACGAAGAAAACGCACTACATCTTCATACTCTATAATATCGGACGAGCATAGATGATATTTTCTATTTTTGTATAGTGGATGTGATGTGTTTTACTTTCTGAATAACAAGCAAAAAGCACACAAAGTATATATATATATAATCTTGATCAGTAACACAAATCTAAATCGATTTAAGCATGTCCGACTGTTCGTTTGTTTCAAACAATCTCACAATCGCAAAAATGCGGCTATTAACTCCAAATATGGCAGAAACATTGAAAGTTCTTACGTCCAGGTTGCTATTAAAATTGGGCCAAATCGGTTGAAGGGCACTCTTTCAGTATTGCGTAAAGTAAAGAAGATACCTCTGTTTTTTAAAAGGAATGAAAAATTGTTTTTTCCCCCATTAGTCATAAATTATAGCAGATTAACCTACAAACATTTGAACGTATGTTCTATCAGCAATGCTGCAGCACCTGCACAAAAATGAATAAAAATTGACCATGCCCACTCAATCAATATCATAAAGTATCAAAATTCAATTTTGTTTTGAATGCGTTTACAACGCGCAGAAGTAAGCTTCAGAAATCCGAATTCACAATGCACCTAAGCATGTTCGTCCCTTCATCCGTCCGACCGTTCGTTTGCGCAACTATGTAGTATCTGCGATACACATTCGCCTGTTCGCAAAAATCAAGCGATCACCTATGAACTTGCAAAGGAATTTGAATATGACTCAAACTTTTCAAACAACACGCCTACAATACCCGCAGGTCTATCTATGTTGGCCATTTAACGGTCGACCGCTGTGCATTATATTTTATTTGTTTTATAACAATCGGTATTGGAGTGTTTTGTGATGAATTTCCCTTTGGAATATTAGATTTGATACAAAATTGCGAAATTGATTAGATGAAAAGCGATCGTTTTTTATGGTTGCTGACTGACTGTTGATTCAATTTCTTTTGCCGAACGCAAATTGAAATTCTTTTACTGTTACGGCCGTGTTTGTAAACGAATCGTGTCCGTTTTGAGACTTCATCTGAAGCAATAAACTGAAAATATGTAAGCTAAGCTATAACGTTCTGTTTAACGTTAACGTTGAACAACGAGCGATAGAGGAACAGAGTTGAATCCATTCAAAATTTTGCAAACAAATTGAAAATGTTTTGCGAGATTCGCGATTAATGCTTCGTAATGTTGCAAACGGAAGAACTTATCTAATAACTACGAATCCTTCATAAGCGTAAATGTGAAAAGTGACTTATACCGCATTTCACGCAACTTAAAAGGTCGAATCTAGAAAAAGAGAAATGGATATTTTTTTTTCTAGCTGCCCCAGATATTTCTTGGAATTTTGCTTCTAATAATTATACGCATATATAAGCGAATAAACCTCACTTACGCTAATTACGTTCAGTTACTTCCCCTGCCTGGCGCTAATGCTGACTACAGCTTTTTTTAAATGTAGCATAAACACACCGGTATCTATCTGGTATCTATCTACATTAAATTGAAAGACGTGAAAGCCGATTTTTTATATTTCTTTGGGAGGTAAGACTTCATTCTAGTGTACACGCTATCTTCTTTTTTTTTTTTCTTGACTTTGCTGACTGTATCCTGCTTTTTGGTCTGGGTAGAAAAAAAAATGAAGAATATCGATCCGGCAATTTTATGAGCCTTACACTGTTTAAAAATTATTTAAGCAGAAAATCAAATCGCAGCTTAAATATGTCTTGAATTTGTAGTCAAGTGATAGAATGCCGATTCAATGCCGATTCTATTCTGAAAAGATTGATGTCATTTGCAACGGGAATGAAATTCATTCGCATTTGAAAGCCAGACTTTATCACATATCGTAAGGGTAAATTAAATTTGTGAGTATGTATGCAACATCCAGCAAAAAAATCCACCTTTTATTTTGCACATTCATTCAAAATCATTTTTAAAATCGTTTTAATAAAAGTCTGTTAATCTGACCGCATATCTATGTAATATCTGTTTACGTATTTTTTATTTAGTCTTCAGGTCAGCGAATTTTCAAATCTTGCCCTCGCGCATGTGTTGATCCAAGAACAAACCTTGTTAAACATGCTTCAATCGAGAAGTCATTTCTACGATCACTTTCCCATACAAAGCTCTGTTGGGAACAGATCGTTAATAAGTAGTGTAGCATGCTCAATGGTCGACCTTGAACGGTCATAACATTTTAAAATTTTAATCGCTAACCTGCGTTCTTTAATATTTAGTAATTGCTTGGTTGCTTTACTAGAAGGGATAGTGTTTGATTTTAAGTTATTAACAAAAAAAGAGAAATGAATTAATGAAAAACTGCGCTTATATGTCTTATGCTTATAGAAGCTCAAAATTTATTTTCATTGCAGTCCGAGGAATTGACTAAAGAAAACGCTTTGGCTGCTGCCAATGATTGTAAAGATGAAACCGGAGCTACGGACGGTAAATTAAAATAAATTCTTCTTCTTACGATATATTTAATTGACCTTGCTCTTACGCACATATTAGACGACATAGCTGCCATTTTAGAACATAAGCCGGCTGATAGCACTGAAGGCAAATGCTTAAGATCTTGCGTGATGAAAAAGTTTGGAATTGTATGAGAAAAAAAAAAAAAGAAAGAAAAATTAGCATCACATGAATAACTCTTGCTTTTTAAATGGTTAACTGTATTGCAGATGAACGATGATGGAAAACTGGTTAAAGAAAAAACTTTAGAAGTGGCTCAAATTATGATTACAGATGATAATAAAAAGGAGTTGGCTATAGAAGTGGTAGAGGCGTGCGAAAATTTGTCAGTCAACGAGGATCAGTAAATGAATATAAATTGTTACTCTATATATATGTTTTCTGAATTATGCGTTTTTCTATTTATTTATTTTTTTTTAAGCTGTGAGGCGGCAATCGAATACGGTGCTTGCTTAAAAGAGCATGCCGAGGAACAAGGTCTTTTGCCACCAGATTTTTAGAATTTATTCAACTCAGTCAATTTTAGCAAATACTCTGGCAATACGTAATTATGGCTCGTCGCTAATTTCCGTTTCTTCGGATCTTAATGTTATGAAAAATTTACTCTAAAAAAGAAAATCCAGAATAAAATAGAAAAAAGAAAACGTTTGCAATAGAAAACGGAACGGCTTTTTACTCGTAACTCGAAATTACTTGCAAGGAATATCAAATCATCCCTTATTGCTCCCAATTTTCTATTCGCTGTACAATGCGCCAAAGACAAATAAAATGAAGCAACTCTATAAATATATACCACAAAAAAAATTAAAATTGGTCTTTGCTTCAAAAAAAAATAATTTCCAAAGAAATTTTTTACTTCATATAATGCAATATATGTTTTTATTGCAATCATGCAATGCAAATGATGTGTTCAGCGCATTCATTGTGTTAAGCGCTTTAGACAGCATTGTCGTCCATAAATTTGTTGATTTTAAGCAAGCACTAGTCACCCTGTAAAAATAAAACATAGCACAAATTCAGTACGTATCTAAATAAACAACAAGAAAGCTCGAAGTCGAGTTCGAGAGGCTTCATTTAACACTTCCTGCAACAAGTTTTAAATATTTAATTGGAATGATTTTGTAACTGAATAAAATGAAGAAAGTTTTAATGGTGGCTGAAAAGTCATCTTTAGCCACCTCATTGGCGCAGATCTTATCAAATGGCAAATGCTCGTCTAGAAAGGGTTGGTAGACGGTTAACAATTTCTGTAACATAAAATGACGCCGGTTTTTTTAACTTCCTTCAATTTGTATGCTTTAGCTAATAACAACTGCCCGGTACACGAATGGAGTGGACAATTCCGCAATCAAACGGTATTGTTTCGTATGACTTCCGTATGTGGCCACGTAATGAGCTTGGAATTTGCAGGCAAATATAATTCTTGGGATAAAGTAGATCCCATCGAATTGTTTGGCTGTCCCACCGAAAAAAAGGAAGCAAATCCCAAATTGCATATGAATAGTTATTTGGCACAAGAGGCACGGGGATGTGAACATTTGGTTTTGTGGCTAGATTGTGATAAAGAAGGCGAAAACATTTGCTATGAAGTCATGGCGGCCGTAGCACATGTCATCCACAATATTTACAGTCGCAATATAACTTATCGTGCTCACTTTTCTGCTATCACTGAGAAAGATATCAAGAGCGCTATGGAAACGCTGGGTTATCCAAACGAGAATGAAGCGAAATCTGTGGATGCTCGGCAAGAATTAGATTTACGTATAGGATGTGCTTTCACCAGATTTCAAACGAAATTTTTCCAAGGTCGTTACGGTGACTTGGATTCAACTTTAATTTCGTACGGACCTTGCCAAACACCAACATTGGGTTTTTGTGTAAAACGGCACGATGATATACAAACATTTAAACCTGAAAGCTTTTGGTATTTACAGTTGAAAGCTGGTGAACCAGAATTTAACTTCGATTGGGCACGGGTGCGATTATTCAAAAGAGAAATAGCTACTATGTTAATGAATTTGGTCAAACAACAAAAGGAAGCTTTGTTAGTATTAACGAAATTTCGAATTTTATTTTAGTAATCCAATACATTCCCATCTAGAGTTGAAAGTGTTGTTTCCAAAGAGCAATTTAAGGGTAGGCCGCAGGCTTTGAATACCGTAGAACTAATGCGTATTTGTAGTGCCGGATTAGGTATAGGCCCCTTTCAAGCAATGCAAATAGCTGAACGTCTATATACTCAAGGATATATCAGTTACCCGCGAACCGAGACCAATCAATATCCAGCCAATTTCGATTTAAAGTAAATATGTGCGTCTACCTTTTCAAGCTATTAAAAATTTAATTTACCTTCCGCAGAGCTGTATTACATATTTTGAAATCTTCAAGCGAATTTGGGAGCGAGGCTCAAGTAATTTTGGGTGATTTCAATCCACCTCGAAAAGGTAAAGATGCTGGTGATCATCCGCCTATCACACCTATGAAATTGGCTACCAGAGCCGATTTTGATGGCGATACGTGGCGTATATATGATTTTATATGCCGTCATTTTTTGGGCACAATCTCTAAGGATTTAAAATATCGCACTACTACCGTTAAATTACGTGTTGGTACTGAAATGTTTAGTTGCGTTGCAAACGTTTTAATAGATCCTGGCTTTACAAAGGTCATGACATGGCAAGCATTTGCTCGTGATGATCCAATACCACCTTTCGTGGAAGGTCAAAAGATTACAATAAATGATGTGCGCTTAGCCGAAAATCAGACTAGCCCTCCAGACTATCTCACAGAAGCAGAATTGATTACGCTAATGGAACAGCATGGTATTGGGACAGACGCGTCCATTCCCGTACATATTAACAATATATGTCAGCGTAATTATGTAACCATCGGAAGCGGTCGTAAACTTATACCTACTACTTTGGGTATAGTATTAGTTCACGGTTACCAAAAGGTAATGATACCAGAGTAGTAACTGAAGATCATCCTTAACATCTCCATTTTCAGATCGATCCTGAGTTAGTTTTGCCAACTATGCGTTCCGAAGTTGAGTCCATGTTAAATTTAATTGCGAAAGGTTCAGCGAATTTTAACGCCGTACTTGAACATGCCATAGATATATTTCGTTTGAAATTTTTGTATTTCGTTAAGAATATTGCCAGCATGGATAGTTTGTTTGAAGTATCGTTTTCGCCCTTAGCTGAAACAGGCAAAGCGCATTCGCGTTGCGGCAAATGTCGTCGTTACATGAAATATATCCAATCGAAGCCGGCACGCTTACATTGCTCACATTGCGATGAAACTTACTCTCTCCCAAACAACGGCACTGTAAAATTTTATCGGGAATTTAAATGTCCGCTTGATGAATTTGATCTGCTAGTTTTTTCAACGGGCGCGAAAGGACGTTCTTATCCTTTCTGTCCATATTGTTATAATCATCCTCCCTTCAGGGATATGCCGAAAAATGCTGGATGCAATTCTTGCACCCATCCTACGTGCCCCCACTCGTTGAACAGCCTCGGTATATCAGGTTGCGTGGAATGCGAGCATGGAATTTTGGTATTAGATTGTACAATAACTCCGAGTTGGAAACTGGTTTGCAATAGGTGCGATGTTATTATCAATTGCTTCAAAGGAGCAACCAAAGTGACGGTAGA